CTGAGAAGCAGTGAAAGTACTACCTTATAGTTATGGTGGGCTGAGTTTGTTGCAGTAACAAATAACATTCTAATTTTAGAGTCATAACAATGTGGCTTTGTTTCTCACTCATATGCTCGTCATGATCGGTGGTGACTCTGTTTCATGTGTCTTCAGTTGAGGATTCGGATTGATGTGGTCTCCACTATCAAGAACATAATTGGTTACTCTGGCTGGTGGGAACAAACATGGTAAATTACACAGTAGGTCTTAAGGCATCCATACAGAATTGATATTATTAGTTTCTCCTCATAAGTGGCCCATCTTACTCTAACTTTCATTTCATTGCACAAAGCAAGTCATGCCCTTATATCTAAATTGAATGGGGTAGGGAAGTACAGTACCATCTTTGTCCAGAAGGGAGAGAACCAGACATATTTGGTCAACAGAACTAATGACTGCCACAGTTACTTTGTCCTCTTATTTATTTATTTAGTCAGGCAAAATAGAATAAATTTTGATTTTGCATAGAAATAGAGATGAGTTTTCATTTCTCCTTTCTTTTCTAACATATAGTAAAATCTACTTGAAATACAGAAGGTAAACTAGCCTTGGTGCTAGAATGGTGCCTCTTTTCCCAGAGGAGAGGTCAGGGGAAACTCACCATGTTCTCCTGGCTGCCATCGGACCATGGAAGAGAACAGAGCCCAGCCACCATCACATTCTCCCAGAAGCTATTTCACCTTAGTTATCTGCCTACTAATGTTACTATCTGAAGAAGCCCTAATCATCTTTCCCTGGCTTCCATTCAGAGAGTTAGAGGAATAGTCTCATCCTGACTCACATCTCTGTTTCCCTAAATCACTATCAGAAGTCCAAGTATCTCCAGTAATCTATCGTCAGAGAGATGTTTATCTCCACTCTGCTCTGCAGTCTCACTCCATCTTCCATTCTGTTCTGTTCTCTGCAGTTTACAGTTTGCATCAGCGAACTCCCTGCCAGGTATTCCTACTACTCCTTCCTAGTGAATTCACTTTTCCTCTTTCTTAGGTCTCTATTTCAGAATCTCTTTCGTTTTCTTCTCCAAGGGCTGCTGTATTTCATAGGAAAAAGAGACAAAATCAGATCAGAAACTACCTTATCTTCTCATCACCTAATCCACTCACAACTGCCTGACTCTGCATCTACATATCCTACCTTCCTCTTATTAAGATGGATTGTGTCCTCATACAAATCTAATGTCAACCCCTCAGGTTCCCTGGAACACAATTTATTTTTCTTTCTTAAGAACATTCTTTGTTAATAATCTATTTTCTCCCCTGTGTTGTCATTTTCCCCCTCTACTAGATGGTTCCAGCAAACAAGCATGCTTTTAGAGCATCCACGGAAAAAAAAAATTCCCTTGACCCCATGCTTCCTTCCAGCTCTCACTCCTTTTCCTCTCTCTCTTCCCAGAAAAAACCCTTGAAAGATGTTTTATTACTGTAACAACCTTACCTCTCCTTCTCTACTAAACTTACTTTAATAATGCTTTTGTTTTCTCATGCCACTAACATGATTTTTACCAAGATCAAATGTTAACAGCAATAGTAATAGCTAACACTTACAGAAGTGACTGCTACAGGTAGGCAGTGTTCTGAACACTTTATACATGACTCATTTAATCCTCAGTTAACCCTATGAAGATCGCGCCATTAATATCCCTCTTTTAGGCATAAAAAAACTCAGCTGCCCATGCCTAACAGATAACATACCAAGATCAGATAGTTGTTATGAGCAACTTAGATTTGAATCCAGCTACTTGAACTTTGGAGTACATACTTTTGGCCACTACACTGTATTACTTTTTAAATGGACAATTATTTCTCTTCATTTAATTGAACCTTTCAACAGCATTTGACATAGCTGACCAATCCCTCCATTTTGAAACCTTTTATTCTTGTATCTTCTACTTCTTCATTCATTCACACACAGGTTTCTTTTTTTTCTTTTTACCTCTTGTGCAGCTCCTTATCAGTCTTCTTCTGTCTCCCCCATTCCAGATCTAGATTTTGGACTGTTTTCTTCTTCTTCTTCTTCTTTTTCTATTGGTAGAAAACTTTTCCATGGTAATCTTGTTCAGTTTGTGGATTTGCATATCATCTGTAGGCTTAGATCACTTAAGACTATCTCTGTAGCCAAAATCTCTCCCCTAAGCTTTATTTTATAAATGTTGTTGCCTGATTTACATCTCTGCATGAGGGTCTTTTAAGCTTAACGTGACCCCAACAGAAGTACAGATATAGTAACCTCATCCATCTTCCGCCAATTTCCTCTTTCCTAGGCCTTCTCTATCCATGAGAACCATCAACTTCTAATTGCTCAGTCCAAGTTTAGGGGTAATTCTTGATTCTTCTTTTCCTCATGACCCACATTCTACCCACTGGTAAATCAAATCAACTCTGCACTGAAATATATCCAAGCTGCTACTTCTCCCCATCTCTGCTGTTGTTAATCTAAGTCTCATCCTTGATCACAGAGACTCCTACACCTCTTCATAACTGACCTTCTTCAGCCCAATCTATAAAGAGCAGCATGAGTAAACTTCTAATAGATAAAAGAGGTAACACTATTTCCACCCAAAGATTTCCCATGCAGAAAGAATAAAATCCAGTCTCCTTACCATAGCATACGAGTCCCTACATGATCTACTTATGTTTCTGATGCATTTCCCTCAAACTTTCAATTGCTTAGCGACCCTCCGGCCACCCTGGTCATCTTTGCTGCCCTGGAAACATACCCCCACACTTTCCCCTATTTCATGGCCTTATCATTCGCTGCTCTTATATTTGTTCTTCCTTTCTTAGGTCTTCATAGTAGAGGCTTCTTTCTCATTATTCAACTCATCATTTGGATTATCTCCTCAAAGAGAGACCTTTCCTGCAACAGTTCAAAAAATATACATTCCCTTCCTATAAAATTACTCTCAATCACTTTTCTGTACTGTATTTTCTTCAAGGAGCTAAAATCTAACATTGTCTTAATTATTAACATGGGGGCTTTTTATTTGTTTTCTCCTCAGAAATATAAGCTCTATGAGGGCAAAAACAGATTGTGTCCCTTATTCATTGCTGTGTTTCTGGTACTCACGACCATGGTTGATGTGTGGCATTCACTCACTTAAAATGTAACCTAAAAAAGAAAAGTAGAGAAAGCAGAATATTAACTTGTGTGATAAGAAACTACCCTATCTTCTCACCACCGAATCCACTCACACCTACCTGACTCTGAATCTACATATCTCACCTTCCGCTGGTTGAAATGGATTGTGTCCTCACACAAATCTAATGCTAACCCCCCAGCATTCAGCAAATTAAAATGAACAGACTCATTCCTTTTTTTTTCATTATACTTTAAGTTCTGGGGTACATGTGCAGATGTGTGCAGGGTTGTTACATAGGTATACACATGCCATGGTGGTTTGCTGCATTCATCCCCACGTCACCTACATTAGGCATTTCTCCTAATGTTATCCCTCCCCAATCCCCCCAGCCCCTGCTGCCCTTCCCTTAGCTCCTCCACCCTCCAGCAGGCCCCAGTATGTGATGTTCCCCCCCATGTCCATGTGATAAACGGACTCATTCTTAGCTGAGAAGATATTCCCCAAAAACCAAGAGGATAGGGACAGAAGTCTATCTCTTATTTTTTAGCTTTCATAGACATAGATTTGTGTTTTAATCAAACACAGAAAATATCCCTATTTATATCTACAGTAGCAGAAATCGTATCTGTCTCTTGAAGGTTATATTGAGGATTATATGTAAAAGCTGTATGTTACACTTGAGTTTTTTGGTTTCACATAGAAGGATAAGAGGTAGACAATATGTGTAATTTGCTTTCTCTTAGAAAAATCTGAGCAAGCTACTTAGCCTGAGTTATTGCACATTTGGTTTCACTCATCTCAAATGGGAAGATTAATATAAGTGCATAATGTGCTGATCTCATTTGTAATGGGTCTCCATATGTTTATGCCATTAAACAACTTAAGATCTCCTGCTTTTCCATTTTAATTTCTGTTTTTATAACAATGACAATTTTCAAATTACTGAAAGCATAATCTTTTAACAAATGTTTGATTTTAAGCTGTTTTTAATTTTAGCAGGCAAAAGTTGTATTTTATCATTTCCCAGTAGGATTAATATTTTGAAGAAGAAATACTGAAAAAAAAATAATAATGAAGATGAATAGAATCTTATCATAATATACTGAGTGAGGACCACAATTTTAATTAACCCAATACACTCAGTAGGCTTATTCAAGGTTGACAAAATGAGTAAGGAAGGCTGATGGCCTATTGGACTGGGTTTACGGGCAATTGGCTGCCAGATACGAATTCATCCAAGTTCATGGTTCCATTTGGTGGCAGTTGCCCTCTCAGGCAAAATTGAAAGGAATGACTTTGGGTTCTGGGACTGGCTAGATCTTCCAGAAAAATGGTGGCAATTTCAAGAATCGCTGATTTGTTCAACTTCTGGGAAATTGAGCAGAAGAATACTGAGGATATGGGTGCCCACCCTCTGCCTCCCCTTCCTGCTTGGTCCTCATGCTCTCCCTTAGAAGAACATAAGCTTTACCAGCAATCACCTGCTTTGAGAACGGGGCTGGGCTCAGTCCCATTGCAGGGTACCTGGGCCAGAGGTTTATTGTACTTTGATTAACACATTGAACAAAAAGGCATTAAAAAGTCATATGCAAATAAATATGTTTTTGATGGTAGCCCGTATTGCCTGTATATCAGCTCATTCTAATCTAGTCACTACTTATTCCTGCTTTACCAGGCATTTACTGACAGATATGTTCCTACCACATTTAGAAAAGAAATCAAATCTGCATTATGGAGTTAGCATCATTATATTTCTCATTTCATGCATGGCGGACCCCTTATAGAGCTACATTTAGTGTACTGCTAATTAAAAAGAAGGGTAGGGGCAGTGTCCAAAGCTTTCTCAATGTTCTCTTATCTTTTGTTTTTGTTTGTGCAGCTCACCATGTTAAAACGGGAACTTGTGAGGTGGTGGCACTCCACAGATGCTGTAACAAGAACAAGATAGAAGAACGGTCACAAACAGTCAAGTGCTCCTGCTTCCCCGGGCAGGTGGCAGGCACCACACGAGCTGCTCCATCATGTGTGGATGGTGGGACTTCTTCCATTGCTTAGTGTGACGGCACAGCCAAGGATGGCTTAGAACTGGAACCCCACTATATTGCTCTCAATGGGGGTCATTCCTGGGTGAATGTACTATCAATAGTATAATAAGTTGAAACTGGAATATTTGGGTGGCATTTTGAAATCTAAAATCCTTTGGAAGGAGGTCTAAAATATTATGCAGTTCTGTAACAAACGGCAGTATAATGAGGTTCCATTAAATTAATGTGCTTCTTATTTTGTTACCATGAAATGTTGATTTCCTGGTGGATGGTGGGAGGTGGAGTATGTGTAAATTAATTGGAAAAGGAAAGATGAAAATGGATGATTTAATATTATGGATTCTTAAACTCATGGATGTTCTTACTAGTCAACATGGTGAAACCCCGTCTCTACTAAAAATACAAAAAATTAGCTGGGCATGGTGGTATGTGCCTGTAGTCCCAGCTACTCAGGAGGCTGAGGCAGGAGAATTGCCTGAACCCAGGAGACGGAGGTTGCGGTGAGCTGAGATCGCGCCATTGCACTCCAGCCTGGGTAACATGAGTAAAACTCCATCTCAAAAAAAAAAAAAAAAAAAAAAAAAAAAAAGAATTAAAAAAATTCGCACCATATATATGACAGAATATTTAGTTGTGGATAGAATTCACATAAAATATCAACTTTTATGATGATGAAATAACATTAATTCTTTCTTTTGGGGGCTCACCAATTATAGTAGGACATAAATCTTTATATGCATTTATTTGATGTTACCATAAATAGTAATTTGTTAAGTGCTCATGTTACTATGATATATTGTTTGTAATGAGGCTATAGCACACAGTTAAAAAATTATGATAACTCTGATAAATACCCGCCTGATAGTCAGCTTACTCATGGGAGTATTATATTGATTATAAAATGTTGACTCAAAACTCGTCACAGGTCCTTTTTCTTATATGTTTATATAAATTGGTGCATACATACATTTGCATAGTTCATTTTTAATATGTTAGCTTTCATGAAGCCTATTTTCACATGAAAAATCCTGCAATATTGTACGCATAGTTAACTATTCTGTATTCTACACTTAAAGTTTTATTAAGAGGATAGATCTCATGTTAAGAGTTCTGATTATGATAAAATATTTTTTTTTTAAAAAAAGAAAATTATTTTAGACAATCTTGAAAGGTTTGGTCCTTTTGAACCAAAAGAGAGGCATACCTTAAATAGCAGTATTCCCACTGGTGGGAAAAATTAGTGGCTTTTGTTCCCCATTAGATGTGCACAAAAGAACTAACAGTCCCAAGCAGAAAACATTGAGTCAATCTTTTTCTCTCTTGTAGCTTCAATAGTGGAACAGAAATGGTGGTGCCATATGCAACCATGTCTAGAGGGAGAGGAATGTAAAGTTCTTCCAGATCGGAAAGGATGGAGCTGTTCCTCTGGGAATAAAGTCAAAACAACTAGGGTAAGTGGACAGCCAGCTTGGGAAAACAGAATGTCTCTAAATCAATAGCGAATGGAGCATGCGCAGTAACCAATTTAAGTGGCAATTGTAGAACTAAAGAGTATCGTTTTGCAAGATATGTTTTTCCCATTTTTTCTTAGTTCATTTTTTCATAAAACATTTTTATTTCACTCAGAACGACATCTTCCATAGATTACCACCAACTGTCATATTATCTGATAAGTAAACACTGTTCCTTTATAAAATACTGAGGGTAATGTGAACCTCCTTTCCCCGCTGAGGATGCATGTTAAATTCTGGGAGGGTGACCCCAATCCTATATTTTCCTAGTGTATAGTAATTTAAATCAATTCTGAAAAAATTACTTTATGTATTACTTTTAATACAATTTTCTAACTGAGGTTATTTTAGTTTCATGAAAGTAATTATTTTGAGCTCCCTCATTTCTGAATCATTAAATAGTTTTCTAATGGTTAAGGTTTACAATTATTGTAATGGGCTACAGAGGGTCTCAGATTCTCAGGATCAATACAAAAAGAATACACTTAAGACACTGATATATTTCTGCTTTGCAATTACTGACCTCTGGGTGATGGGAAAGAACTGAAAAATAGCTTTGTTCTTTCATTTCCTAATTAGCCACATGGGTATTGCAGACTCTCAGAATTTGAATTCTTTTCTTTATAGAATTAGCAAATGAAGGTTTTGTTTTGTTTTACTTTTAGGATAGCATACTATTAATTAGAGTTGAATATTTGAGGAATAGGACAGAATAATGGTATAAATTGATGTTTTATAAAAAGTAACATGAAACTAGAGACTGCCTAATTTACAATACTACTTGATAGAGCAGACTTTTAAACATTGCCTGGACATAATACAAGAGGCTTATTTTATAATCTCATCTACATGTATAATTTAGTCTGCCAAGTAATGTATTTATATAATGCGTTGACTGATCAGACATACACAGAAGTGACTAAGTTTCAAATGGCATGAATAAAAACATATTTTGTGAAATTATTTTTGACTCTAACCTGTTAGCTAAGTGTCACTCCTTTCCAAAACCCACGGAATGCACAATCAATTAGTTAGGATAATTGTATTAATCAGTGAGCTAGCACATAATCTATATTAATTTGTTAAAAACATTCTGGCAATGTAAATTTTCCTCATAAGCTATTTATACCATGAAAACATTTTCCCGAGCACTATTAATTCTCAGTCCAAAGATTCTGAAACAGATTTTTAAAATTGTGAGCTCTTGACAACCAAATTCTTTGTTTTCATTACTTCAGTGAACAAGGGGAAGCTATAATTTATTGTATACTTAAAACATATGCCATACACTGAACAAAATGCTTTACATGAATTAGCTGATTTAATCTTCCTAATAGCCCAGTGAAGAAGGTAATATTATTATCTCCTTTTACAGATGAGTAAACCAAAACTTCTAAAAGTTAGATAACTTCCCAAGAACATACAGCTAATTAATTAGGAAGCCAGGTTTCAAAACACATAGTTCCATTGCAGAACCTAACCTTTTAACCTGTAGTTTGTACTAATAAATTAACTTATTCTTAAACGATAGTGGTAAAAGTTTCCTATAGTTCTTTTCTTATGAGGTTGACCTTTAAAAATATCTCTAACTTTCTGAATCATTGAAATGAAAAGGTCAAGACCATGCAATCTAAATTCTCATAGAAAAAATTTTTTTAGAAGTGCTGTTTCACTCCCTTTTGGCCTGTTGACCATATTCTCAGTGACCCAAACTTAAAATTGAATGTCTGCTTCACAAATTCTTCCTAATGTAATGAAACACAGTGGATGAGAGACTGAGAACTCATCAATAGGGAATTATAAGACATTATCCTTTGTATCGAGGAGAGCATTTTCTATTTTTCTTTCATCTCTTTTGCCCCAAAGAATATCTGGTAAAGGAGGGCCTTATTTAAGACATTAGAGAGGGTACTCATGCAATAGTAGGTGTTTAGATTTAGTTAGTTTTAAGATCCCCTGCAGTTCTAAGAGTCTGTGATTCCCATTTTGAAAAGAAAAAATCATCATATATAGGAGGAGAGAGAAAGACTTGAAAGAAGGAGCTTCTTGAGTACAATCAAAGTAAATTCTTACCCTTTTTTTCCTGCACAAGAAAAATGTTGCTTATAAAAATGGAACTACTTAAACACTTTGAACCAAAGGAACACCATGGCATTCTAAATGGAAAGGCTAAAATGCGCAATTAAGTTTGGCTCACAAAACAATTGGGACAAATTTCCCTGACGCCACAAATGAAGCAAAAAGTTTTCAGGGTCATCAGGCTATGATTGCTTGGCCATCTCCACTGAAAATAGTGCAAAAAGTAGAGGAGACAAGAAAAATTCTTAAAATAGCTCTAGGCATGTGTTACTTTGCCCACAGTGGAAGTGTTGCATAGAGGAAATGTTGAATAGAACTAGATAGTGGAAGTGTTTTCACCAGGTATAAATAGCACTATTTTTGAAAACAAATTTGAGTCATTATTTTAGTCATTGATATTACTGTCCATATGCCTGTTTTCAATGAGATGGTTGTGATCACCATAAGCCAAAAAGCCATGAACTCCTGATTTGGCAGGTCACAGCCACAAATGGAAAGCCCAGAAGTTACGTAGGAACAAGTTACAAAATAACTCAAGAGCTGTCTTAGCCAAAAGCTATTTGCTTTTCTTATGCAAGATATGTCGGTCTTATGGGATTATCACTGCAAGCAAAATGGCTTGAGAAATAATTAAAATTTGTAATAATGTATACTGTCCCTTATAATGGCCCATAGCCAATCTGGAGTGCTTGGGTAAGCCTGTTAGATAAATAGCAATCAGCCAGAAACAGCAATAAGCCTTACATGACCTCAGCAAAGATGAGTGGCAACTTCCCCAAATTGACTACAAATCAGGGTCTGGGTGATTTCACCATTTAAGACTAATTTGCAACCTATATTGTAGTTACTACAAATGTAAATTGTAGTCTTCTTCTGTTTTTGTATTGGATTTTGGAAGCTTTTTGGTTCTGACCCATTTCCTATTGGTGCTAACAGGGGGAAAAGGGAAAAAATAGGGAGTCATTTTTGGAACTTCAGTGTTTTGTTGCATATATGTTCTTTACGCACCCAAGCATTTAATTTGGAAAGAGTGGAAGATGCAACAGTTGTTTCCCAAACCCCCTTTCTCAGTCTAAAAGTGGAAAACTTATGCCTTCTGTGACATCTATAACCATCTCTTGTATTACTTTTAAGATCTCAGTTCAACAGAAAGAAAGGAAAAGTCATACAAGCCTTTTGATTTCAAACTCACTTTCAAAGATAAATAATAAAGAACTTTGCACAGGGTCGTTAATAAAAGAATAGTCTTTCCAGTGTGAAAGAGCACATAATTATATGCTAATTATACAACACAAAAGTAACAGAGGGGCAAGGTGCTGTAGAGCTTGTAAAATATGAGAAAAGAAAATCTTCAACATGGTTGAAATCATCAGAAAAAACAGACTATGATTCTGTGTGTGTGTGTGTGTTTTGATATTTTTTTCTTTGTGGAAGATCTAAAGGAAGTAATATTATGTTTTTAGAATTTGCAGTCCTTGCCCACTGGTATAGACATCAAGCTCCCATATATAGTAGTCACTGTAGTTTTTAATGTTGATTCTTACCTAAGGAAAAATAAGCTTAATTTCATATTATACATGACTTTATGTTGTTGCTAGAAAGATTACCTTTATGAATCATATATCCCAGGTGCATTGAATTTTCATATGCCTAAGAAGACATTTCTGGCTGATTTTTAACTAATTGAAATTATTTCACTTTGTGCACTTATTTAAAGTGGCTTAAGCAGATAAGATCTCTGTAATTTTTAACTGTTCCTTCAAATATAAATTGATTTTAAAGGTATGCAATGATTTTATTTTGTTGTGTAATGCAATGAAAATAAAAATATATTAAGAATTTCCTATGCATAACATTCTATGTCAGTAGTATTCATATTACAATCAAAACAAAAGCAAATATAGAAACATTACTTAACTCTTACTGTATTCTGGGCACTCTGCTGAGCATTGCAGGTATTATCTTAATTTACCCAACCATAGTAGACATTAAAGAGAATATAGAGATGTATGACTTGATCCCAGCCCACAAGGAGTATGCCATTGAATGGAGGAATGAGTAGGGTGCAGTTGCATTATTCTTTTCTTTTTTTCTTCTTGTTTTGGGACAGAGTCTTACTTTGTTGCTGAGGCTGGAGTGCAGTGGCACGATCTTAGCTCACTGCAACCTCTGCCTCCTGGGTTCAAGCAGTTCTCTTGCCTTAGCCTTCCAAGTAGCTAGGATTACAGGCACGCACCACCACATCAGCTATCTTTTATTTATTTATTTTGTGTATTTTTAGTAGAGATGGGGCTTTGCTATGTTGGCCAGGCTGGTCTCTAATTCCTGGCCTCAAGTGATGTGTCCACATCGAACTCCCAAAATGCTGAGATTATAGGCGTGAGCCACCACGCCCAGCTGCATTATTCTTTTCTTTACCCATATGCAGTCTATTGACAATGAAGGTTGGAATCCATGGTGTAAATATAAGTTAAAAGTAATATTGTAACAATAACAGAATAGCATAAGAATGAGATATTGAGCTAGATTCAATTTCAAGTTTCTCTAACCAAGGTTTATTCTTTGGTTTCGTGTGCCAAGAACATTTCTAACTTCCTTTCCAGCTACATTTATATGATAGTAATAACTGGCTAATCTGAGAAGATAGATGAGTATTGGGTTTTTAATCCTTTCACTGTAAGGGAGAAAAGAAATAGCATCTTGGGATGGTTTGCTGATTAAAGCCTCGTGTTGTACTCTTTGACATGCTACTGGATTTCACACCAAAGATCAGTGACTCTGCTGGGCTGGTGAATCTGAGCAGTGTCTAGGGGTGCTAATTCAGACCCAAGGAAATGATGTACACAGCAAGAGGAAAAAAG